GGGGACGGCCGAGGGCGGAAGAGGGGAATCTTGACTGCGGCCAATACTGACCGAGCTCGGTTAATGATATGTTTTATTATATGGCCAAACAAGAAAACTTCAGCTCGCTGAAAGTTGCTTACTGCAGCCGGTTCGTAGTCGCTGGCATTTTGGTTGTAAATTGCGATGAAAATTTTGGTCAAAAGAAGGTTGAACTCATTGACAGGTATGTATTTAATTTCTCAACCCTTTTAGCTGACTGACAAAATTTCTTACAGGCTCTTAGTCTTGAATTTACATTTTACTTTCGGACTGCAAAAACTCCTAAATTTCGCATTCAGCTGGTCCAGGTTTTTCGAAAGATGGATAATTATAACGCTCTTCACGGGATAAATCACTATTCAGCCGATAGCGCAGTTTGTTTTGTTAACACTTATCCACTGGAAAGCGATTTATCCGGTGGATAACTTTATCCAGCCTTTGAACAACTGGGGCCTGGTGTTTTGATTGCCTGAGTTGAATTTACAGTTACCAAAGTTTAATTTGCTTGTGTTATTCACCCTTTTTCTCTTCGTCGTTTGGGCTCCTCTATTTAGTATTTTTAGCACAAACAAGTTCTAACGATTTTGAAAAATATAAAAGAAGAAACCGACACAACGTAGGATGATTTTTTTTGAAGGTGTACCATATTTCGGTCGGTCAAACCAGCCTTCTTCGGGTACAATGAGAATTTTACATTGGGACGTGTTTTTACGTAGCATATTTTCGTAATACCGGAAATACGTAAGACTTATTGACAGTGTCAACGATTTTGTATTTTGTTTACAACATTCTCATGGCGAAAGCAAAAGGTAGAGCGATTTAGATGCCAGTCTACATATGGAAGCATCTAGACTGCGGTCAATATCGATTTTAGCCAATCATATTCGGGAAATTGGTGGTTTCCAGTCCTTGCGAAACACGGCCTGGAGTGCTCGTCATACCTTTTACGGGTTAAAAACGCGGTTTTGGTGCCTCTTAGAGTGTTTAGGCTCAAAAGGTCCACAGCGGGAACTTTTGCGGTTTAAGGTATCGACTTAAAAAATGTGACAGGAGATGTGTTGTGTAAGAATTGGAACTTCTTATAGGGGAGAAAGAAATTTCAAGCCACGCCCACAAAACAGGATCTTGGTGCCTCTTAGGGGTTCTTTTCTTATGGTCTTATGGTCCGTCTTTAGTCCCCCACCCCCTGGGAACACGGCCAAATGATAAATAACCTAAAGGCGTAACTTGGGATAAGGTAGAAGGGGTGGGCTAGGAACCAAACGTTAACCTACCTTGTCTGCACCAGTATGTATTAGCAAGAACCAGGAGATAATGATCATATTCTCTTGCAAGAGTGGATGTTTTAGTATGGATCTATTGTGTTTTTTTTTGTTTGTTTGTTTTTTGTTTTTTGTTTTTTTTTTTGCCAGCAGTGTGAAAAGGTTTGACTAATCCTGCGGTTGTTTTGACATGTCAGCCATAGGCTTAAATTATTGTCCGTTAATCACGTATGACCAATAAAGGGCACATGACTATTCGGAAATTATCTGCCAAAAATAAACCGGAGTTAATCTTTGAAGTGTGAGTCAGCAGTGCGCAGTTTGCTCCGGTCCTCCACGCGCTTTCCTTTACTTTAGGCGTTAAAAGTCAGGGGCGCTTATGAAGAGAAGGGACAAAGCGGTGATAAGGTGATACTCAATTAAGCCGGCAGACACACAAGAAGGTAGGAACTCTATCATTTATTACAAGGTGTCTGGATGGTGTTTAATTTTAACTCATAGCTGAGAATTGGTCAAAATTTAAGCCGCTGTTAGCTGTTGACGCACTTTTAAACTAATGGTTGAGATCTGAGATATACCAGCATTCTGCTGATCAGAGATAAAATTTTAATCTATATCATCCATTACTCATGAGATTATGTTTGTGTTTTGATGTCTGAACTAGCGATGGCCATGATCTCATCATCGATTTTTAAGACGTTGATTATTTTCCGTTATCTTCAGTGCACGCCAGATTTTGCAATAAGCAGATCAGATCGAGTGGCAGGGGATTAAACTAGATAAAAACGTAAATCAGCCAGTATAGTGCGCGCAAATTAGCGATTAATTAATGCCTTACTTTTTTTCATAAATTTCTTACATTCCCAAGAATAATGAATTTTTCCTTGCGTGAAGCCCCTGGCGCGGCCCACGTACGTTCTGGAACTTTTCAGGGTAAACTGATTTTCAATATTGTAAGACAATGGCGTTGATGCAACACTGCATTCTCATTCTCAGAACCAAGATAACAGAACAAACGAATTTATACCACACAGTGAAGAGAATTGATATCTTAAAATTGAGAATGAGAGGGTTGCGCCTCGTTGGCTATCTATATTATCTGATATCCAACGCCAGCTCGTGGAATAATTTTTAAACTAGTCGTAATCGTAGATTTAAGAGTGCGTCCGAGTTTTGTTAGGATTTGTATGTTAAAAAAGCAACAATTCTTGCAACAGCATTTTCTGCCTGAGCTGTTAGGTAGGCGTGAAATTGGCTTCCCTTCAGCAGGGGCGAAAACAAAATGAATCGGATCGCAAACGCGTGCATACGAGAGGGTTTGTTCTCGTTTATACAGGTATTACGTAATGTTAGTATGAAAGAACAATCAAATTTCTGGACTTAATTTAGAAATACGTCCTATTTTTAAGTCTTTAAATGAAGACAGCTGAATTACACATCCTTCACAACATTGTTTTGATGGTAGTTTAATTAAACTAATTGGTTTCACGCACTCAACTTTCATTGGCTTTCGTTTTAACCTTTATGGACCGATAGCTTGAACAATTCATCTCTGCGTGCAAAGTCCATCGAAGTCACGTTCGCAGCTTTAGCAGCTAAAAAAGAAAACCTTAGTACTTACGAAAACCTGAAAACAAATCTAGCTTCAACAAAATCAAAACCATGACTGCCGAGTGCCGGTGCAGTGCTCTATCAACTTAGCTATCAAGCAGGGTGGGAGTTTGACTAGTGAATATACGAAATATCACATCTTTGAACTACAGACGAGATATTTTTAAAAACATACGAAATACCGTCGCAGTCATATTGGTAGCTTTGTCGGTTGGGAAACTTAGATTTTGATGGGTCATTATAACCAATCATAGTCTCAAGAAATACAAACACGAATAGAAAGTTAAGGTTACAAAATAGACGCTCATCTTTCGTCACGGTGTATGGTTTTATTTCGATCAATATTCTCAAAAACAAGCGTTCAAAGCAGTTTGCAGTATTTACGATGGCTTAACACTCGTCTAAGTGCCGTGTATGTAAAAATAAATTCCTCAAACACTATCCTTTGCATCCGGGAGATCTAGTGAGCTATGGGGGAGACTCCTGGATAATCAGAGAGAGATGGTCAAGATGATTTAAACACTGGGAAATTACTCCGACCCTGAAATTGTAGTTTACTAAGCGAAATTACTACCGGTAAAGTACAGCTTGCTACTCGACAGGTCTTTTTTGCAGGGTGCAGGGTGCAGGTTGCAGGTTGAAATTTAATTATAAATGGAAAACCGCTGGCACCTAAAAGAAACGTACAGCTGGTAGACGTACCGTGACTGTTACATGACGCTGTGTACAATCGCTGAGAAAGGTGACTTCCACCTGAGTGCCAAACCCGCCGAAGCGATGGGAGGAGAGTATATTCCTATGATTTTAAGCCTGCAA